GCAGCAGGACAGCAAGTTTGAACCCAGCCTGGGGAAATGAGCAACTTAACAAAACCCTGTTTCAAGTTACAAAATAAAAGGCTGGGCTGTAACTCATTGTGAAGGTCCTGGGTTCAGTCCCCAGTGATTTTGTTATGAAAAGATTTCTTTAAAAATATACCAAAGCTATAAACCATAAAAATATCAATAATTTCATTATACTGGAATAAAGAATATCTGTTCATTAGATGAAATTAGAAAGAGCTTGAAAAACCAAGCTATAAAATTTGCAACATATATTGCAAAGAAAAATATTTTCCCTGAAACACAGCAGATAACGCAACAAAATATGTTTACAGGATCATTAGGCAAAAGAGAACTCCACGAGAAAGCATTTCATAGATGGGTCAGCACAAGCGGCCGATACATACATGAAAAGATGCTCCTTGCAGCGTGTGAATATGGAATGCAAATTCAGATCACAGTGAGACACCATTCACATTCCCTCAAGACTATTGCCAATGTTTTGTCTTTGATCCTGGGGAACGGATCACGGTAGTTCCTTTCCTGATTTAAACTGAGCAGGTATATTTTATTCATTTTGTGAACACTACTTATTTCCATAAATATGAATGTTTACATGAAAGGTAAATGAGTTCACAACAGACATTTGATGCCTCCACAATTTGTGGGGTACCCAAGATGTGCTTCATTGTACAACCTACTGCCAAATACAGTCACCTGTGCTCCTGAACACAGACCTGGACACTTGACACTCATCACTATGGGTGATATAATGAGGTAGAACCTCTCGGGTCGAGGGACCTGGGCCCGCGGCAAGCGGCGACACGGGGAAGAAAGAGACACCGGAGACCAGGCTGATGGCGCAGATCTACTTTATTGCGGAAGTACCAGGCGTTTTATAGAGCAGGCTAGAGGCGTGGCAGGGGCGTGGTTTGGAGGCGGTACTATTGGCGGGGGCGGGGCGGCGGGGAGGTGCGGAAGTAAGAGGTCAGAGCGGGACAGCCTAGGCGGGGCAACTCACTCGGTCTGCCGAGGACATGACGAGTCTAAGTCTGCTCAGACTCGCTCCTCTGCCACGACCGTCAACCAGACCTCTGGACCCCTTTTTCCCACAATATAATGATTTCCAGACACTCACACGGCCACCCTTATCTGCTACACGACTGCTACACCAAACCAGCTACCACAGAGTGTGACGGCCATGATGGCCAACAGGTCTAGAAGCAGGGGCAGGGGAGGGCTGCCTGCCTCAGATGTTCTGAGGAGAAGCAAGCAGGTTGATGGTACTTCCTTTCAAGAATCAATCACTCCTTTCACTTGGTAATGGAGCAGACATTAGCTGGAACATGACCTTCCCTCAGAGTGCTGGCCAGGTGGCAGCTGCAAGAACCGTACTCTGAGAGGCCTACAGAATAAGCAGGCTAAGATGGCAGAAGCTGAGAGCTGAGAGCTGAGAGCTGGAGAAGCCAGCGGGCAGAGGAGCAGCTCTAGGAGCAATTTAAATGATGAAGTGATAGGCACTAAGCGCAGAAGAAACTCAGAGAACGGAGCAATCAATCACTGCCAAGCTTATCTTCGGACAAGAGCAGAACTCCAGCTTCCAGATGTAACATTAAAATGTAATGTTCCCATGGGGCTGAGCATGGCAGGTTTCCCCAGCTTCAGTTTCACTCAGTTAACTAATTATGAGAAAATGTGACATTGGTATTTACTTTTTCTACAGGGACAGATCGTTCCCGGCAGGAGGGAGAAGTTATTTTTTGTTCTGTTTTGTTTTGTCATTAAAAAGAAATTACTTACACAGCAGTAAATAAGCTCTTGTTAGGGGGAAGAAACATGTTTTTTTTCCTTGATAATTCTGTCAATTCACCTTAATGCTTAATCATTTCTTTGGTTTCCTGGGGACAAGGTGGGTATAAGAGCAAGTGTTTGGGTTTTAGAGCTAGGCTTGAAAATGAACTGAACCATTTACTAGCTATGTGACCCCGGGCAAGTTATTTAAGTCCTCTGAGCTTGTTTTCCCAGCTGTAAAATTGAGGCCCATGTATCTCCTGTACAGTGTACTTCTTTCAAGATGAAATAATATAGTCGAAACACTTTAGCACAGGGTCTCTGTATAAGTGCTCAATAAATTCTAGCTTTTATTCTCAATGACCCTGAGACTCTATTCTATAAACAGAAATAGTTTGTACACGCCATTTACACACTGGATTACCAGCTCCATATGGCCATGCATCTAATCATACACTGGGTCTTTACTTTGGTGCTACAAACCCAACCACGTACTACACATTCTACACCTGCTTATTCCAGTGAAAAGTTAATATTTAATGAAAAGGTTGAAGGAGACTTTTTTCCTCCTGAAAATTCCCCCTTACTTTAGCTTTGCAAAGACAACATACAATGCTGAGCAAAAGTCATCAATAAATCTGTGCTTCTTCTCCCCCTGCCTGGATGCAAGAGAAAGATGACATTATGTCTGCGGCGTTCTCAGCAACTGAGAAGGCAATTGGACAGATGATTTCCCATCTGTACTCACAACAATCTATGTGGATGCTGAGCAGATATGATTAGCCCCATTTTACAGATAAAGGAAAACAAAATCAAGAACAAGAAAGCATGACTGACAGAGCCCTTGTATTGTGTGAAGGGCATCTGGGAAAATGACATGGTTATTGGACTTTTCAAAATGAGATTTCTCCAAGAATAAATTCTGTTTCACAGATAGTCAGTCATTAAAAAGAGAAGCAGGATTGTTGCTGGAAAGTGAACAAAATAGAAATCTAAGAGGCATAGGGTTTTATATTCCAATTTCACAATCCATTTGCCCAATGTGCCTCAAAATTTTTACAATAAATTTGAAAAATTTGTTTGCCTTTCTTACAAGTGTATTGTAATGTGTACAAATGCATAGTAGTAGACAAGTGACAGTATGACATTCAAGTGGTCTTACACAAGCCATAGTAAATAAAAGTTCCCCAAATGTGTAAATATAAGGAAATATATATTGAGTGCTAGATAGAAAATCCTGGCTATAACGGAAGGCATACACATATTTTTCTAAGGACTTATGGGAGAGAAGATTATAAACAAGTAAGCGACATTAGATAAATCTATATTACATGTTTGAACTACTTGGGGGAATCGCAGAAGCATCCTAAGAGTCACAGATCAGATGTGAAATATTTTTTCTGAAGTCACCAACATACGGTAGCCTTCTGATGTTGGTACTATTTCTTCAACTAATCACAAACAAGAGCTGTTAAAATAATCAATTTTGAAGTGCTCTTACTAAAGAGCAAGTCTCTCTGGTAATGGTCACCTTCCAACCCTCCAAAGACACTGACATATGTTCAGTGGTATCTCATAACTGCTGAATGAGTCCTAGTGGACTAGAGAATTGAAATTAAGAATATGCTTCTCCTCCTTCTTTGAGTGGACAACGAGTTCTTGTGGATAGGAGGACAAAAGCAACCAAAGGTCAGTGAAAGCAAAGCTGCTTTAAAATAAAAATGTAAGTTTCTAGTTTACCATTTTGGACATGGAAGCCCAAGGACCTATAAATATGCAATCAAAAACCTATTCATACCAGCAACAATCAGCAAAATAACCCATGATAATGGGCTACCATTAGGTGGCTGATTACCTAATTCTGACTTAATGGTCACGAACATAATTTTCCCTGTGATTCTTCATAAAGTGTGATGCAACTTCATTCTGATATTGGGACAGATTTCATGATGTGGTAGCAAGAGAGGCTGCCTCAGACTCCTGGTATATTTCCTTAATGTATTCATATCACAAATATTTTTGAATGTTTGACAAGTGTTAACTATATTAAAGAACTCACAATCTAATAGGGGAACCAACTAAATAAAACCTCAAATTTGAGTGCTAAACCCTGGGTTGAAGAAACATATTTGGTGCAATAAGCAGGTCAGGGAACTCTCACAGAATATGAAGGAAAGTAGGAGAAACTGTCTACATGACAAAAGAAAGTTTCTTGCCAAAGAGACAGTATGCACAAAAACAGAACGACACAAGAAATACAGTGAGTTCCAGAAATTAGACATGCTGTCATATGGCTGAAGTGTGGATCACAGGTAAAAGGTGGCAAAAGAAAAAATGAGCAGTAGTGGAAGATAAATATTCCATTGTTTAGGGCGTACTAACCCACATTAAAACACAACATAGAAAAGCTGACCAGTTACCAGCCTGTTGGAAAACTCATCCCCTGGGCAGCAGGAGTATGTCTACTGTGATCACTTAGTGCTGTGCACAGGCAACTAGAGGAAAGAGACCTACAGGCATGGATACCAGTTTTGAGACAAGGAAAAGCCCAAGAAAGACAATGAGGCTCCCCCCAAAAATGCATATACCATAGATGTTTGTAAAACATAATTACATAGCATAATTGACCAATCACTTAATGAACATTTTGATTGGCTGATTGAATAAATGAATAATTCTAAAGCTTAGAGGAAGTGCAATTACATATTTTATCCTTGGGTAACACAGCGGTCCCTTAAAATACAAACAGTTCACTTCAACTAGGTCGTAACAACTCATGCAGCTTACTAATTAGTGCCAGACTTAGCAAAGGGCTTCACAAGACACAGTCCCAATGTTCAACCTAGAAGGGACATTTGGGAATGTCTACTACAAGCCCCCATTTAAAAGATGTAAATATGATTCAGAGATGATGAATAACTAGCTCAAAATCACAAGAAGTTTCTGGTGACAGGAGAGAAATCAGCCAGGCTACATTAAACCTCACAGTAATCGCCAATCAAGTGGTTGTAACAGATTTGAAAATAATCCAAGAGAGTAAATTCAGCTGGGGTGGATTAAGTCTTTAAATGTATTAAAAGTCTCTAGTGGGAAATACACTAAAGAAAACATCACGAGCCTACATCTTAAATAATTCTTCACTCTGACAGTGAAATGCAAGGAGCAGGGCTCAACTTTTAATTAGTATAAATAAGATAGATTCTTACCATGATCTTCTGAAGAGACTGGTGACCTAAAAAAGAGAAAATAAGCATGATGAATACTTTCTGTATGGTAACAACAATAATCACAAATAACTTCATAGCAATTATACTCACAAAATCCAGTTAAATAGAAACTCAATATAGCAGGTAGTATAATTAACATATATACTGGTTGCATGATATATTCCACTCGATAACTTTCAAATCTTACCAGGATTGTGGTGGTATTGGGCATTGGGTAAGTGTCATATCTATACATACTGTCACAGAACTGCAGTTACCTTAGTTAACTAAACTTATCACAGAAAAAGATAACTCCTAGGAATATGGTCATGGGTGAAATCCTGTGAATTTGCCTAGTGCCCAAAGTGAGGCCTCCAGAAAAAAAATATCAAAGGGCTAAATAGCTAGAGACACTAGCTTGAGTATTTATGGATAAAAAGAGATCTGCTTGAACAGGAAAATAGCAGATCAAAACAAAGAAATGGCATGGAATTTGTGAGTGAGGTTGAGTTTAACCCTCTGTGTGCCAGCCTTCTGTCTCTAAACCTATGAGAATCAGGACGAGAGAAGAAGGTAAGTATTGGGATCTCACAAACTTTCATAAGCCAATAATTTTTGCATAGCCTTTGTGGGCCTGGGTCTTATGATGGTAATCAGATATGAAGTGAAGCACTGTGTCAACCAGAAAAACCTTTCTTTCCCCCGGCTGACTCCTAACTGCAATAGGGTGGGCAATACAGATGAACTGACCTCTTGTCTGGATTGAAAGACTTTTTTGTGAGTAAGCACTACAGTACAAAGACATAGCAGTAATGAAAAGAAGCCCTTAAACTTTCACTAGTGACAAAGTAGAAATCATTTCATCCTCATGGATGTCATCAAGTAGACTTTTGCATGTGGAAACTACAGAGGGTGTCAAAACAGGGGAAATAAAATTGCCATTCAGGTAATGCAGAATGGCGAACAAGAACTTGCTATAATTACTACACCATCATTAACTGAGAACCACTACTTGGCCTCTCCAGGTAGAGCTGATTAATGCAGGATATTTCTTTTTTGAGTTCCCTTATTCTGTACTGTCTTTCTTCTTATTAGGGTGTAACCCTCTTGCAATATGAACCATGTTCTATTTAGAATAAACAGGCCTTTAAACGTATTGAATGCGTCTGGTTTTAGCACCGCTATGTTAATAATGAGACTCAGATACATTTTGGAGTGCCTCAGAAAGTCATCTGCATTCCTCAGCTGATGCACATTTGGGTTGTTTCGAGGTCTGAGCAACTTCATTGAAGATAACAGTATGCAACGTAGCAACCACTGTTAATTCCTATCATTTTGTTTTGAGGTCATGTATTGTTTTTGTTGTTTTGATTTTGTCTTCATTTGTTGTTGTTTTATTAGTTTTGTTTATCTTTAAAGTAAAAAACAGTCATTATGTTATCTTCTGATCACTTTCAAAACAACTTTGCACCTCCTAGGTCAGCGGTTAGGAAAAGGGTGTCAGAAATGAGGCTAAAGCTCCACTGGCTTAATGTTGGCAATCTCAGTACCAAAGGACCTCATCCGTAACACTCCACACAGACACTCATGATCTATTTCAGTGACTCAGAAAATAAGTGTGTTGAATGGGAGATGAGACGGGATTATACGGTGAATCTAAAGAGCAACATATATTTGAAATAAGGCGGAATAATTTCTTAAGTCTCTTAAAGCTTAAGAAAAACATCAGCATTTGGAAATATCACCACTTTTGGTACTGTCAAAGAAGTAAGCAAAATATGTCATGGATTGTTTATAAATAACTTTTCACAGACCTAGCTAGAGGAACAAAGAAATCTCCATGCCAATGGACAAATAAACATCTCAGGTGGAGTGCTTGTGAAGCAGGGTCCTTCCTGACTTTCTGCAAAAGCAAAGAACTAATATTAAACCTGAAAAATTCCAGATGGCTCCATTAAAGTCCCAAGGGGATGCATTCTGTAGTACGTCCAGGCAGCAGGGAAGAACTATCAATTTTAGAATGTTTTGTAAGTATTAGTCTTGTTGAGTTTCTGTGCTGAGTGTCTCCTAACATGCCTGGATTTGTGGAATTCTAAGACATATGGAATATTTCAATCCTCACCCAGTATTTCACCTTTCACTGCAACAAGTCACTAAATTATACTGCTGAGACATACACATCATCCATTACTGTTGGAAACGGGCAGAAAAAGTTTTATAGATCTTAGCTCAGGAGAGAAGAAATATCCTGAAATCAGCAATATGAGGAGCTATTTTTAAAACAGAGGTCAAATCTCAAGAGCAGATCACCTTCCTCAGTCTGCCATGGAGGCATGCAAAGAAGCTCACTGCCTAGTCTTCCCACACCACATGGTTTTATCCCAGATTATGTATTTTTCCTCTATGTGTACGTTATCTTGGAGTTAACATTTGTCCTCACAGGTAGCTAGTGCTAGCATTCAAATAACCCCATAACTTATAGTTTTCCTCTTTGCTTCTTTCCTGGTCATTAGTCCTTTATTGTTGTCTATTAAATGTTCATGCTTTTGCTGTTTTATTTGGTTTAATATTTTTGACAATTTTATTTTTTCCAACTCACCAAAAGTAAAAGATTCAAGCTTTGCATTTAAAATCTTTCTTCTATTAAACCTAAGGAATTATTATTCATGTTTGAAATCTTTTAATTCATATTGATGTAGTTAAGTACTTAAGACTCTTAAGCACTAAGCTCCATGCTGAATGAGGAAGATATGAAGAACAGTTTCAAAGAACTCACAATCTAGTGAAGAAAAATAATCAAATGATTATAAAACAGTAAAGAAATATGATGATCAAAGGTATGAGAAGAGGTAGCACAGAGAAGAGAAAGATCAATTCTGTTTCAAAGAATGAAGGAAGGATTCAAAAAGGAAGATTCATGTGAACTCAGCTTTAAAGAATAAATAGAAACTTATTAGGTAGGTAAGAGAAGAATCCTAGGCAGAAGCAACAGGCATATGAAAAGGAGTACAGATATTAAATCTCATAATATGTTATTAGAGAGATAAGGAACTTAGTTTGCCCAAAATGTAAAGGAATAATAAAACTAGGATTAGAAAAGAAAGACATAGAGGCCATTTCACATAGGGCTTGGGAGACCCTTTTGAGATGACTGTAATTTACCTTCACAGCTAAATGGAACCCACATTTGAAAGTTCCATGTTCTGCTTTGTACTTTTGAGTGAGCAGGCTGAAGGAAATGAACATCAAAGGGCAAATTAAAAAGTAGAAGACAAGTTAAAGACTACTATTGCACAACTTCTATGTTAATAAGACAGAATAAAAATTTCTCTGCTCTTCAATTCTCTTTGAAACCCAGGAAAAATAACAGGGAGGAGGAAAACCAGTAAAGTAAACACTATCTTTGACTAAACTAGATGTTCATGAAGCGAAACTGTCATCTATGAATAAGAGCTACCAAGTACAGTAAAAATTGCACCAAGTTTCAAGGGAACAGGAGTCACAATCTTACTTGGCTAAAGGCACATGAGCTACATCATACACCATGGAACTATGGCAGAAAGCCCTCTACTGTGAACCAGGGTGTCTTGCTATAGACAAGTTGGATCAAAGTTCACAGTTCTTGCTATAGAGAAGTTGGATCAAACCCCAGTGGAGAGTATTGTTAAGAAAGAGGTTAAGAACAACCAGCCCAAAGTCAAACTTGCAGCAACTCACCAACTCACTAATCCCAATTATCCATCCCAAACTTAAGTTCCAAAAAGAACTCATCCAATGCAAATATGAATAATCAAAAAGAATCATCATTATATATAGCAAAAATACCACAATAAGAAAGCCAGAGGTAGGCAGAACACAGTAAAAAGATGATGGCATGAAGCAGATAAGAATAAATCTTCATGAAATTTAGAAACTGAAAAGGAAAGGAAAGGAAAGAAAAGGAAAGGAAAGGAAAGAAAAGGAAGGGAAGGGAAGGGAAGGGAAGGGAAGGGAAGGGA